ATGGAGCAAAGATGAAGCTTAAGTTTAGTGATTGTTTTTCACATCCATGAATTATGAAAGATCAGTCTTAACGAAAAGGAAACATATTGGACCTCTTTAGCGTTGCACAGAGTATATTCCTTAATTCATAAGCATTTGATTCTTTCATCAAATCAAGTACCCCATAAATATCAATCTCATGCTTTAAACCCACTTTCTAATTTATTATTCAACCACACCCTGCCAATCCCCATGCTATAATCTAACCCCACACACAAGAAAACACCATTTACTTGTGTTCTACAAATTATTTTTAGGGTAAGCTACTCCAATGGTCATTAATATTTGGGTAAGATTTTGTTTTCAGCACTGATGTTTCAAAAGTCACGAATCGGTCACTAACGTTATCGTTTGTTACAAATTGGTCACTCGCCGTTAACAGACGTGATGGAAAATACACGTGGACTGTTAACAGTCGTTAACATGCTTACCTGGATGGTATAATTACACAAATAGTCCATGATATTTATATATTCTTTCAATTTGATCCTAGTTTTAATAAATTAAAATAAATTTGTCAATGAATCAGGAGGTGACATGTGTCATTGGTTACACACCTATCAGATTGAAAGACTAAATTTATTTTAATTTATTTTTAATTTGATATATTTATTTCTACCAATCAGAGGGTGACACGTGTCACCCTCTGATTGGAAGAAAATAAAGCAACAAAAAATTAAGTGGGGGATTCAGACATAGGACCCTTGAGTGAAATATTGCAAGCCAAACGATTGAGCGAAGACAACCATTTAATATACTTTGGATAACAAATGATATATATATTGTCTCTTAGTATGTAAATGATTTACTCAAAATTAATAATATATTATATATCTTAAATTATAAAATTACCTCTTTATTTTGTTTTAACTTATTAAATATTTTTATTTTTTTCTTAATTTATTAAATATATTTTATTTTTTTTAATATAAAAATATATATTATTTTATCTTTATCATCACTTAAAATATATTTTTAAATATCTTAACTTGAAATATATTTAAATATTTTACTATTAATTTAATATAAAAATATATTAATTTTACATTTAGATTCTACAAGTGTTTAAAAGAATTATACAAAATTTCATAAAAAATATTTTTAAGAGAGATTAATTTGTTCGAGCTCAAAATTAAAAGAACCTAAGAATTGTTTAAACCAAAATATTTAGTCACCAACAATAACTTTAATATTTTAATTTAAAATATTATTATTTTTTAAACGTGTAGACAGTAAACTATTGTTTTATAGTAAAAAAAAAGTTAAAATTAATTTTTAAATATGATGCAAAGATTAAAAAATATATATAATAGAGATGTAAAAATAAATTTTTACAAACAAAAATATTTAATAATATTTAATAAGTTAAAAAAAATAAAGAGATAATTTTAAATTTTAAGATATATAACATATTATTAAATTTAAGTAAAGCATTTACATACTAAGATACAAGATACATACCATTTGTTGTCCAAATTATATCAAATGGTTGCCTAGGCTTAATGATTTGGCGCGCAATATTTCACTCAAGGGTTCTATGTTTGAATCCCCCACATGCTTCTTTGTTGCTTTATTTTCTTCCAACCAAAGGGTGACAGTGTCATCATCTGATTGGTAGAAATAAAGATATTAAATTAAAATAAATTTAGTCTTCCAATCAAATGATAACATGGACTATTTTAATTTATTAAAGCTAGGATCAAATTGAAAGAATATATAAATAACATGGACTATTTGTGTAATTATACCATCCAGGTAAGCCTCTTAGCTGCTGTTAACAGTCCACGTGTGTTTTCCGTCACGCCTATTAACGGCGAGTGACTAATTTGTAACAAACGATAACATTAGTGACTGATTTGTGACTTTTGAAATATTAGTGGTGAAAACAAAAACTTACCTAAACATTAGTGACTGTTGGAGTAGTTTACCCTTATTTTTAATTTGTTTTTTCAAAGTAGTTTCAAAATAGTACTTATATAAAAAATTAATCTATTCAGAATTTACTTATACTCTATAAACACAATTATTCAAACACAAATTGTCTACAGAGAATAACATTCTCTTTTACCAGTAAGTCAATGGTCGGTAATATAGGTTAATTGAATCATAAAAGAAAAAAATAGAATTTCCATTATTATTATGGCTTTAAACAAGTCGAGCCTTAGCTTGAGCATTGCTAAGCTCGACTCGAAAAATGTAAAGTCGAGCTCTAAGGAACACGAAATCAAAAATCGAAGCTCGAAAAAAAATTGAACTCGAAACATTCTCAGGTTTAACTCGACTGAAGTTCAAACTCAAGCTTGATTAAATTTTGAACTCAAACTCAAATTTGAACCTTTATTACATAAAAATCTTATATTACATTTTAAAAATAACATATAAATGTTAATACTATTAATAATTTAATTCAAAATCTTAAAATTTAACATATTTTTTTAGAATTACTCGTGAACTTTTTAAGTCGAGTACTAAGCAACTTATTTCAACTCGTTAAAAATTCAAACTAAGTTCGAGCTCGAGTCAAATACATTCAATTTGAGTATTAACCGAGAATTGAACGAATATTTACTGCCCCAATGTCGGATAACATTTAAATTGGTAGTAGCCTCGGCGAAAGAAAATGACCCATGGTCCTAGTGGAGCCCAATCCGTAATTTACAAGCCCAATTACGTGTGAAATCAAATTCCGTTTGGGTTTGCCAATAAGACATCGGCAAAGAGACAAAATATTCGCCATTATTTTGGGTTTCAAATCTTGAATTAATCATAAATTTAAAGTCATATTTTGAAACTTAACTTCAACCACTGAACCAATAGTTTGTTAACCAATGACCTGTTAAAATGATCAATATTATTGTAATAAAATCAACATTACAGAGACGATCTCCTTCAACATGGTTCAAGCAATCTTTATTAATGCAACTAATAAGCAATACCAACAACTTTGTTCATCCATTTTTGGTGAAAACATTAACAAACACAATGTATCCTTTTCCATATACATGAAAACAATTCGCCATCTGCAAGAAAGTGAAAGGCCCTAATCTTGTCCAATCCCTACCTCTTCCCGAAAAAGAAGTTAGTCGCATCTCGATTTACACTATATGTACAGATGGAAGCACTGGAATCACAGCAACTCTAAACAACCTGCTCATCACCACTGCCGTTATTGTCGGGACTGCTTGTCAGCATCAAAAGTTCCATTAGCTCCAATCGATACTCGAGGCCTCTAAGGTAGTGTCCCAACAGCATACACCTTCAGGAAAGATATGAGAATATCAGAGGTAGCTACATTACCATATCTGAATAATAATAATACAGGTTCGGTCAAAAAATTGTTGAATGTTAAGTGTGACTGAGGCTTATTCAGGTTCAAACATGAAGAAAACCTCTCAAATCTCGAGATGATCTTTCATTCTCCCAAAGTATACCGATCAAACACATTAAGTTGAAGTGTAAACAGGATTCCACTATAATGAGCATTAATACAGAGGAATGCACATTTCCTGTTAACTTTGAATGAGCTAGATTTCCCTTTAAAGTATTTAACTTGAATAAACTTGTAGGGTTGAAAGTGTGTTAGAATAAAAGAGACGGAGGAGACAAAAGGAATGCTGCAGGAGAGCTGGACTAACCAGAAGAGTAGACGAGCAAGATAGTCCCGCGTTAATGAAATGAAGGCTGGAACTGAAGTGAAGTGTTCTCAACAAGTTCGGCGCAATCTTCACTACCAATATTTACAGTTCCATGGCAGTGTTCTCTGTCAAAGGAGGAATCTTGGAATGCATCCTTGGAGAAAGAGTGGCAAGGAGACCGTGAACTACAGAGTGGATTGTGTCTTTCACTTCAGGAGATGTTGGTTTCAGAAAGCTCAGCTACCTGAAATTATGTTTGAAATTTATTAGCCATGTCAACATAAATTTTACTGAAACTCATTTCTAGGAAAAGATTCGTGTGATAGATTAAACACTCAGGGTACAGAAATCAGAGTAAAATCGTTATATCTAGCAATTTGCAATAAGCAGTACCCCTTCAAGACAAAAGCTAATCCCATTGGTATACAATGTGCGGCACGGAATTGTCACATTGTTAAAGCTCTTTTTAATTAGTTCAAGCTTCCCTTCATATTAATGGATATAAAAGCAAAGAAATTAAACTCTATTTTCAATTGGAGATATTACTTTCATAGCATCATGTTTATGGGAAATTAGTAAATCAATTTGCTTTAGAAGATTTTGAGACTATGGAAACCTTTTCTGGTTCTAGTGATCTTAAGTCAAGTAAATCATTCTTTTCTTCGCCAACAAACTGTTGCATCTGCAGAGCAGCATTCTTCCTTTTTACTTCATGGAGTTCCTTCAATAGAGCAAAAAACAGAAATTGAGCATGTATTCCACCAACTTGCAGATAAGGATTTGAAGAAACTGTAAAGCAAAAATATATGATCTGTAGTTATGTACATATCGTGAAGATATTCACCAATTTGAGAAAGCTAAATCTTCTAATATAGTATGTGTGTATGTGAAGCAATTGTTAATATCTGAACCGGATAAACCATGGAACATACATCTCATGGAACGTAGATTTTGAAAAGCCAGAAATTCGCAACTCACCAATACTTCCATGGTGGTAACTGGTAAACTCCCAAAATATAAAATTATGAAGAAAGGCACATCTAATATCTTAAATTTAGTTTTCTGCTCCCTCGTATTCTTCCATTGACTGGTCTATTCAGTTAATAAGGTTGGCATGTCTGACATATAAGCACAACTATCTGTTTTCCCACGTATCTAAATTCTTTCAGAATGCTATTACCAACAATTTGGAATGCATGACATAACAAGTTGGCCAAATATCCTATCCCAAATGAAAAAAAGGGGTAATTGGGGGAATTGTCAACAAGTTTCAGAAATATGGATCTCATATCAGCCAAAAGAGGAAATAAGAAGGTCATAGGGGTTCAAATTTGTTCAGAGCATAAAGTTAACTTTATCCAGGCCGTGCATCAAGTAAACGGTTCATAGTTTAAAAGGAAAAACAAACCATGAGAGGCTCCTCAATATGCTGTAGCATACCTTTTTCACTGCAGTTAGACGAGACTTCAAATGAAGAATGTATTTACGAGCTTCCAAGGGCATTTCACCCAGCCTTGAAAGTCTATATCTTCAAATTGCTCTTTATGGTTTCTTCGTATTCAGATGACAAGCCATTTTCTCAAAAAGTTCATTTATTTTGTACTGTCTAGTAACATGTCTTGTAAATCAAAGTTCGACTTTTCTAAAGTTTGATTTTCCAAATCTCCTTCACAACCAAGGTTCCGCTCAAGGCAAAGCCTATATTCAGCATTCCTCAATGTATAACTGCAGTTCAGAAGAACTATTGTTCATAATAATCCCAATATCTGATAGATACTATTGAAGATAAATGGTACTCTGCATGTCTCATGGTACAACTACTAAAGATAAATGCTGAAGTGATTGTACCATATTAAGAAAACATAGACGCAAATGTGAACTATATACATGGAGGAGATAAGACCCCATCAGGATTCAGCTTTTAAGTCCTAGTGGTGGCAAACACGTATACATTGAGCCATGTTTTGCACGATGTAAATGAGTTTAAGATTTGGCTTTTCACTAAAACAACCATTAATGATATCAACCTTTTTTTCTGCCTAAAATAGGGTTGAATGAGGACATAGTGCAGTTAATAAGCAGAACTGCAAAGGTATGTTTTACCATGCTATATTGTTCCAGTTCTTAGCTTTTCTTTAAGTACAAGGTATGTGATCCCAAGGACCCTCCGATACAGAGAAAACTTATTAAGAAGTTGAATATATCAATGTCCAACACATACCCATACCCAACGCTTACACCTGATCGTAGTAACATAGCAAACAAGCATTAAAACCATCACGGCAAGCAGAGAGATATACTGGAGCATAGAAGCATTTAATATAATGGAGCACATCACACATCACGTAGTAAACAACATACCCGTCATCATAGAAGAAACCAACAATTTGGAGAGGGGTTCCCATAAAGCCTCGATAAAGACTTTGAAACCTATCAGAAGGGAGTAAACCCAACATGCCAGAAATAGTCCTTTTCATGCATCCACAGTTGTAGGGGAGACATCTTTTTGGATAAGGCTAACGTCCAATGGTTCTATCTATGTATGCGATTGGTAAGGACAGATTCCTGAAAGAAAAAAAAAGATGCTAAAAATTCAGTCGATTTCTAAATCATAAACCTCAAATGACCAAACCCAATCCAAATTTCAGTAATCCATAAAAAGGGTAACTTCCCAGAATTGAAACTTGTTTCCGGAAAAGCTTGCTTACCTTAGATGGACTGGGATGTGAATCGAACCCATCGTGGAAAGCAGAGGCGTCGGGATTAGAGGAAGAGAAGGCGGGAGAGGGGTTCTGCCGTATTTTTTAGGGTTGATGGGGAGAGGGAGCGAAACGGAGATATGGAAAGAGGGAGAAATAGGAGATTGGGCCTTGGATTGAGCGTGTTTTGAAAGAGAAGAAAGGGGGGAGGGATAAGAGAAAGAGGGGCGGCTGCCATGTAGATTCAATTCCGCCACCGCGACTCTTTCAATCCTTCGTTCTTTCTCTGCCAATTAGGATTTCTTCTTCTTCCCTTTTTCCCTCGAGCAGCGACGGTAGCCACCAGTTAAGTTGAGGATGGAGAATTGGAAGTTAATGTTTGAGGCAATGAAACACGGTGTCAACTTAGCTACTAATGCACATATGACGTGGCTTATTTCTCTCGTTTCTTTTTTCTTCTTCTTTTTTTCCCTTTTAATGTAATAAAAGATATCTTGTTTCCTTTCAAATTGTGGGATTTTCTTTATATTTTTTTAGAGAAAATAGTAAATTCCTTCTCATATTATGATTTAATATTTAATTTATCTTTTAATTTATTTTTAGAAAAAATTAAGAGAATTATAATATTGGTGTAATCACCATTTTTACCTCTCCATTCCAGCATCTCCACGTTGCATTTCCAGCAGCTGCAGCAGCTCCTCCACACAGCATTTCCAGTAGCTTCCAGCGACAGCTGCCCCTCCACATTGAAGCTATAGGTGAGTCACCACCATAGTTTAGTGACTCACCGAATTCCCCCTTATTACCCGGTCCATAGAAAGCTTTGTGGTGGCTATAAAAGCCACCACCGAACCTGCAAAGAGGGGAGGGGAATCGATAGAGAGAGCAAGAGAAGGAAGCTAGAGAAATACCCAACAAACAAGCACCAAAACAGAAAGAAGATCGTGAAGAAACTTACCGGAGCAGGGAACCCGAACGTCGCCGGAAACCACCGGAGTTCGAAGGTATTATTGTAGATATATTAAGATTAAATGCTCTTTAGGTTAAAATAATCTCAGATTCGGGTTTAGGAAAAATAAAAAGAAATTTTAGTGTAAAAAATATATATATATTTCCGACCACCGCGGGTGGTGGCCGGCGGGGGCTGCCGGCGTCGGAGCAAGTCGACCAACCGATGACCGGATCACCTCCGGTGAGAGAGGACTAGAGAGAAGTTAGAGAGAATTGTCATCTCTCTTTAAGAGAGAGAGTGAAAAAATGAAAATGAGGGAAATAATCATTTGGGACAATTAAAGGGTATTTAAACCCTCACCAAAACTACGTAGTTTTGGTGAGGGATGTTTGTGTAATTTCTAATTTAGGTAAACCATTTACGTAGTCCTCTTGAGTTCTGTAAATTTACAATTTGGTCACTGAAATCAAATCCTAAACTTCTAATTCGGTCTTATAATTTTATTTACTTTATAATTTAGTACATGATATGCTTATATATATTTAAGGTAAAATAACTTATTTAACCATTGTAGTTTTAATAATTATTATTTTAATCACCGATTAATAAAGGGATATTTACACTATTATTAAATATATTTTTATATTTCGAGTTAGGTTCATTAATTTAGATATCATTTTCTTTTGGTCATTTTTTATATATTTTTATCATTTATATGTTTAAATTAGTATAGTATTTATTTATTTATTCATATATTTATTATTTATATTTTTATTCACTAATATTTATATGAAATGCAATATTATAAATTTTTAATTCGATTAGACAACAATGTTTACTTATTTTTAAATATTAAGAAGGGCAGTCTTAAAGCAACTCGATGTCAATTTTCTGATATTTTAAATAAATAAACATCTTACTTTTATAAATTATATTAATCTATTTTTATTATTATTTTTAGAAAAATGTTTTTATATTTATTTATTTTTTAATATCGAAGAAAGAGCTGTCTTAAGGCACCTAGAAGTCCTTTCTGATATTTCTTAATAAATAAATATTTTATTTATAAATTAATAAATTTACTTAAAATTATAGTAATAAATTTAAATTAAATATATTTTGAATTTTGAATTTTTAATAATAGAGACAATTTATAATTAAAAAGTACCAATTTTGGGCGTTGTAGGGGTGCTAATCCTTCCCTAAACGTAACCGACCACGAATTCCTTTTTATTATTAAAAAGAACGAATTTTTGGTTAAAACGCAGATCAGTTTATCTTTTAATTGATGTTTTCTTAAAAACTCTTTTAAAAGATATTTTTAGGTATTCGACCTACCTGACCCAAAAGGCCGATGGTGACTCCCAAATTATTTTCAAAACCATTTATTCACATCACTTTTCCCGTCAAGTTAAATTTTTCGTGCCCGGACGAAAACCGGTTACGACAGCTTGGCGACTCCACTGGGGACTTGTCAAACTTCAAATTAATTATAAATTGTCTCTATTAATTAGAAATTAAAATTCATTATTTAATTTTTAATTCTTTTCTTTCAAATTTTTATTATTTATTATTTTTATATTAATATTGTTTTTTTATTCAGGTATTAATTATTTTATTTATCTGTTAGAGGTTTTGTAACCCCCTAAACCCGGCCTATGCGTTTCGACTAAGTCTAGTGGATCACATTATGATTCTTTAAGACATTTTTCCGAAACCGTTTTCAAACAATGTAATATCACATTATAAATTACATGAAATTATAATCATACTATCAAAACCTAACTTGTAAATATAATACCAATAAGTAATAAATTAATTTAAACATATCTTAAAAATCAAATCACGATAATCCGAATAGTAATAGTAAAAATGTCATCATATTAAAATCCCATACTTTAAAATAGGTCCATGTCACAAATAAAGTCAACTTGCAAGGTAAAACATTACAATCAAATATACTTCAGAGATATTTGATCCTCCAAGTGCTCAATCCAGGGTATCTAACCAACAGTATCTGAAAGGGAAAAAAATTTTCGAAAAGTGAGCTAGGCTCAGTGTGTCCCAATATTACCATAAATCACTATAGGTACACTAAACATATCATAGTCCAAAAGTCTCATAAATTATACTGCAGTAAATCTCTTACAAAGCGTTACCCTAAGGAACATCTTAGGCCTGAGAGCCTACCCAAGATAGATTTCGGGCCGTGGGGCCTACCTAAGAACACATCTTAGGGCCGCAGGGCCTACCCGAGAATGATCTCAGGGCCGCAGAGCCTACCTAAGAGTCACATTAGTCTGTAAAATTTTCCAGCTTGATCAGAGCTGTACTTTATAAATTCGTATTCCAAAATTCAATTGCACCGTGTTATAAATTCCATAAATCCATAAACATGGTAATCATATACCATTTCAAAACAAATATCAGATAACAATCATAATCCATAAATCATCACATTAAATCGTGCATCAACAATACGGAAACCAAAGAATTCAGTGTACCACATATTAAAACAAATAAAACATTCAGTAATAAATAGGGAACACACCTCGATAATATGTTCAAATCGTGGATCTACTGATTGCTGGTTTCACCACGCTCTACTACAGTTTTCGAACCTAATTTATAATATCACTATATACTAATGGGTAACATAATAAATCTCTAAAATCATAAAATTTACGAGTCTTACGAGTGAATACTGGTATATGTGGTTTAACTGATCTAGAAGAGTTTGGGTCGAGCTATCGAACGATCCGGAGAGTCTCTTGTACCTTCAAACAATAATTAATCAGCCCCAAATCTTACTTAATTGTTCAAAGCTAGAATTCTTAAGTATATAAGCATTTTTTCGGGTTTGACTATCATTTTGGGGTATTTTCGAGTCTGAATTTGGCCAAACAGATTGCGGAATCGGAATCAGGACGTCGAAAAACATAAGTATGACTTTTTGAAAATTCAGATTCTTGGTCAAGTCAAAGTCACCACTTTGACCGTAGATTTGGAGACCTTCGGATTCGAATTTGACAAAACAGACCACGGAAACGGATTCGGCACGTCGAAACTATCAGGATAGGTATACTCGGAAAAGATTAACGGTCGTTTAATGCTCGGTCAAAGCCATTTTAAGTTTTGGTCAAAGAAAGTCACGGTCACGGTCAACGTCGGGTCGGTCAATGGTCGGGTCGGGTCGGTCACGGTCGGGTCGGGTCGGGTCAACGGTCGGGTCGGGTCAGACCGGTCAAACCGATTCAGACCGGTCAACCGGTTCGAACCGGTTGAAACCGGTCAAACCGGTCAGAACCAGTTGAAAACCGGTTAAACCGGTTTCCAGCAGCCACTCGCCCTGCGGCGGCGCGTGTGGCGCATGAGGCGTCTTCCGGGGCCCTAAAAATCCCGGAAAAATTTCTAAAAATTATTTTGCGATTTCAAGATACTTACACGATCGGTTCAAATTTTTGAACGGCGAGAGCTCGATTTCAAATCGGCCGAATCTTTGACTGCACCACCTCCTCACGCGCGCCGTCTACGGCGGACAAGGTTGACACCGGTGAACTCGGAACGGCACAAGGAACACGATGGTGCGGGAGGTGTCGTAAATGGAGCAACGATCAGCGGTGAATTTAAGATTTCCTCGGCGATAGAGCTAACAAACCGTCGCTACTTTGACTGGAAATTCCCGACGTTTGGCCGCGTTTCGCTTCAATTAATTTGAAGGGTTTGTTCCTCGCTCGATGATGAACACAACGGTGGGTTTAAAACGATGATCGGAATTTGGACGGCGTCGGAATCGGAGTTGGAAACTGCGTATGGGAAAGGAAAATTGGGAGCTGCCGACAGTTTTAGGGTAAATTCAAGGCTTGGTCCTTGGATTTTCTTCACTTCTAAAATGGCCTATAAACTCTCATAAATTTTGATTTAGTCACCAACAATTTACCAATTTTCACAATTAACCTCTAAAATTTCAATTAAATATTATTTTGAAAATCGGGTTGTTACAATTCTCCCCCTCTACAAGAAATTTCGTCCTCGAAATTTACCTTATGAGAATAGTTGAGGAAACTGAGCCTCCATTGACTCCAATGTCTCCCAAGTAGCTTCTGAGGGGCCTCGATTTCTCCACTGAACTTTGACCATTGGAATTCGTCTATTCCGAAGAACTCGTTCATCTCTCTCCAAGATCTGAATGGGGCTCCTCTTCATATGACAAATCAGGTCTCAGCTCTACTTCTTCAACCTGAATAGTGACCTGGATCTGGACGGTATCTCCTCAACATTGATACATGAAAGACATCATGAATACGACTTAGCTCAGAAGGCAACTCAAGCTGATAACAGGTCCTACCCTCTTCAAGATACGAAATGGTCCAATAAATCTTGGACTTAATTTACCCTTACGCCGAATCTCAATACTTTCTTCCAG